AGCACCTCAGTGACCGCACCCTTGCTGCGCAAGGGGAGGACTGTGGTGTAACGCGAGTAGTCGTCAACCACCAACAGGAAGTAGCGCTCGTGACCCTGCCCACGGACGGGGGCTGGGCCCCACAGATCCATGTGAAGCGTCTGCAGGGGAGCCTCTGTCGGGGGAAACTGGGAGGAGTGAGGAGCAGCCCGGAGGCGACCCTCGACACAGGGGACACAGGAAGGTCCTGGCCCGGAGGGGAGAGGAGGGAGAGACTGGGGAAGACCAGAGACAAGGACACGGGAAGCCATGCTCCGAAGACGGGGCAAGGAGGGGTGGCCAAGACGGTGGTGCCACAGGAGAGTCTCGTGAGACAGGAGGCGACAAGAACAGGGGGCAGACTCAGGACCTGACCGGGACACAGCAGCAAGCACCTGGCCTGACGCAGCCACCTGACCAGACGCAGGGACAGGAGGAGACTCAACGAACAGGGTGTAGAGACTCGACCCCGGCCGACGCGAGAACGTGGCCAGGTGTCGGCCTGTGCGTGCCTCCGTGCAGTGGGTCACCCGCTGACTCGCAGGAGTGAACTGGTGAACCCCCACATCCTGCAGGTCCGCGCCACTCACCAAGTTCGTAGAGAACGAGGGAAGGTACAGACCAGACAGGGTGCCCGAAGGGGCAGCCGGACACGGGAGGACAGTGGAGAAGTGAGACAGGACAGGACCCCCAGAGGGGTCAGCAAGGGAGACTGCAACCGGCCGGCCGAGCGGCGTAAGGGTAGTGCGGTCTCGAAAGAAGGAGCGAGAAGCCCCGGAGTCAAGTGTGAAAGTGAGGGAGGACGAGGACGACGCAGTACCTGAGAGCGCAGTCTCACCAGTACCTGAGAGCGCAGACGCACTGGCACCTAGAGCAGCAGCCTCACAAGCACCTAGTGCAGCAGTACCAATGCCCGGGTCGGGCTGGAAACACCGGTAACCCTCATTCTCCTCACTATAAGTCATAGCATACATAGCAGCAAGGATAGCATCAAAATCAAGATCAAAGATCGCTACACCAGCCCTAAGAAGCTCATCCCAGCGAGGGATCTCACTAGCCCCAGGGAACTGCTGACGCCAAGCGTCCGTCAGGCGGCCAAAGCAGCGCTGGGCGGCGTGGGCACCCCCACACTGCTCACCCGCGCGGTCTCCGGAACGAAGAACGTAGGTGCAGGGACCAGTACCCCCACCCCTCTGACGCCCAGCGTACCACTCACGAAGCTGCTGAGGCGGAGGGATGTCCCGCGAGCGCTGCTGCTGCTGCCGCTGCGAGCGCTGGCCACCACCACCGCCGCTACGCTGCTGGGTACCACCCCGACCAGCTCCACCTCCTCCACCACCACCGCCACCTCCGCTGCCGCCTCCACCGCCTCCACCTCCACCGCCTCCACCTCCGCCGCTGCCTCCACCACCACCGCTGGCACCACCACCACCGTCTCCGCCGCTGCTGCCACCACCACCACCACCCCCGCCACTAGTCCCGCCACCACCCCCACTCCCTCCGCCGCCACCGCCGCCACCGCCACCGCCCCCTCCAGCTCCACCCGCGCCCTTGCCCCCCTTGCCCTTGCTGGAGCGACGTCTCCCACTAGGGGCAGACGCCGCGCCGACCGACTCAAGACCAAGCAGGTCGGCAGCAGCAGCAGAGGCAACAGAGGGCAGCAAGGGGGAAGGAGAGCACCCCTCAAAGATGGGGGTGCGAGGGTCACCACGAGAAGCACCTACAGCGACTATGCTCTTCTCCGCTGCGAGGAGGGCCTTCTCGAGGAGGTCGACGGTGAGGGTGGTGGGACAGACTGCGAGAAAGTGGTCCCTGACGACGCGAAGGGAGTCAGGGAGGCGCGCGACTACGTAGTAGAGAGCGATGTACATGGGGGGGGGGTTCTAAGCGTAGAACTCTGCAGGAAGGGCGGCGCGGTAGCGAGTGTCACTAGTGCGGAGGTGTGTAATGAGGTCAGCGACAGTGGGAAAGGCAGAGAGGTCAGGAAAGAGGTAGGGAAGCATGAGACGGCTCAGTGCAGCAGTGGCAGGGGAGGAGTAGCGCGCAACTACAACGTCGTACAAGGTCTGAGCACTCTTGTACTGACTAAAGTGCGCGCACTCAGAGGTAGGGAGGTGGCGACGCACAGTAAGACGTACAGCAGCATTGCGGGTGGCCCACTGAGAGCGCACAGTGGGATCAGCATCAGCAGCAGGAGCAGGAGAGGCGCCAGAGGTAAGGTCAAAGAGAGAGAGGCCGTCTGCCCTATCGCACTGTAAAAACAACTGCAGGTCGTCTACCCAGACCTCAAAGTCAATGGCTCGACCCTCAGCGTCAAAAGCTAGGACACTAGGGGTAGCCATGACGACGACAGCGAAGCAGTGCAAGCAGTAGGGGAAGAGCACGCAGTGACAGTGCGACTGTGCTCACCAGGCAGGGCAGGCCGGGCAACTCTGCTGAAGGGCGGCTCGGCGACTCGGCGACTCGGCTGCTGGGCGGCTCGGCTCCCGGGCGGCTCGGCGGCAGGGCGGCTCGGGTGCAGGGCGGCTCGGCGCCCGGGCGGCTCGGCGGCAGGGCGGCTCGGGTGCAGGGCGGCTCGGCTCCCGGGCGGCTCGGCGGCAGGGCGGCTCGGGTGCAGGACGGGGCCGGGACAGGGGACGGCGGGGCCGTCAGGGTGCAGCGGCGGGGCCGACTGGTGCAGTGGCGGGGCCGTCAGGGTGCAGCGGCGGGGCCGTGACAGGGGACGGCGGGGCCGTCAGGGCGCAGCGGCGGGGCCGGCAGGGTGCAGCGGCGGGGCCGGGACAGGGGACGGCGGGGCCGTCAGGGTGCAGCGGCGGGGCCGAATGGTGCAGTGGCGGGGCCGTCAGGGTGCAGCGGCGGGGCCGTGACAGGGGACGGCGGGGCCGTCAGGGTGCAGCGGCGGGGCCGACAGAGGTGCAGCGGCGGGGCCGGCAGGGTGCAGCGGCGGGGCCGGGACAGGGGACGGCGGGGCCGTCAGGGTGCAGCGGCGGGGCCGACAGGTGCAGTGGCGGGGCCGTCAGGTTGCAACGGCGGGGCCGAGAGTAGGGGACGGCGGGGCCGTCAAAAGAGGACGGCGGGGCCGTCAGGTGGCGGGGCCCGCTGCAGCGACGAAGAGGCCGCGCGGCCGGCGTGAGGGCGGCGGGGCGCAGCAGAGCCGAGAGGGCGGCGCGGCGCGGCCGTAAGGCCAGCGCGACGTGGGGCCCAGGCCGCGCGCGCGAAAAAAAAAAAAGGGAGTCGCGCGCGCGACTCGCGGGGCGCCACAAGGGCAGCGCGACAAGCACTAGGGGGGAGCGCGCCTCGGGGAGAATAGGGCGCGCTCCGGGCAGGAAAAAAAAAAATCGTGGGTGGGCCCTTAAAAAAACGGTCCTTAGGAAGGACCCGCTCTATACCATGAGAGAATCAATGAACAGGAATGAAATGACTAAGTCAGAGTTGGGTACAAATACAACCCTAGAAAGCTGTACCCCATATGTGCTACCCCAATATAGCCTACAAACATGCATCAGCTATGATAATCTGACATAAGAATGAAGAAAGCTTTGAAGGAGAAGATAGATCGACTTGATAGGGATAAAAGGGACCAAACAAGATTGGTTTAAAAGAAAGTATTGAAGAAAAAGTAAAGGGCTTGAAAGATACTTGAAAGGAGCTTGTAACGAACTTGAGAATAAGAACTTGATTATTATGGAAAGAGCTTGAATATAAAACAACTTGATAATAGCAAATGAACTTTGATGTAAAAGAAACTTGGTGAAAAATGAGAGGAAGAGATAACCACTTACTTGAAAAGAGTTCTTACTATTATGTTGTAGAAGTTGATCTTCATTTCAAGCTTAAATGTTGTCTTAGTTGTTAATGAAGAACCTCAAAGCTTGAATGTTGAGAAGCTGATCTTGAATGTTGACTTGTAGATAATGTTTGTTGAATGAAGAGAAACCTCCAAGCTTGGATGTTGAGGTTGGAGCTTGGACCTTGGGTAGAAGAATACACCAATCTTGCTTGAAGCTTTAAAGTACATTAATCAAAAGGGAGGTACATGGTAGGATCTTGAGATCAACTATCCTTGATGATCTAGAAGTAAAACTATGTGGCACAAACTTATCTAGAATTGGAGCATATGGCTATGAGCTTGGGTTGGGAGAGGTTGGTGGTCATGATGAAGCCTTAGGAGTTGGAGCATAAGGAGGAGGACTTGAGGTTGGCCTTGAGGGAGGTTGAAGAACTTGTTGAGAGTTTGGGTATGAAGTAGCATTGAAGAATATAAGTTTTAAGAAATGAAGAGGACCCTTTTGTATTTGGTGGAGATTGATGTTGGATGAAGGATGAGGGAATGATGAATGGTTGTGATTGGTTGAGTTGGATAAGATGGGGGTGATGAATGTGGCCTTGAAATTAAGGCTTGGTGAATGGGATGTATTTGGCTTTGATTTTAAGGCTTGGTGAGTGGAATGAATGTGGCTTGGATTGGAAGGCTTGGTATGGAATCTTTTGTTTGATTGGTGGATAATGGGATAAGAAAGATGATGAGGATAGGAAGAGAGTTGAGGTGGAGGATTGATAGGTTTTGATTGGTAGGTTTTGCTGTCTGGAGATAGGAAGGGTGTGGTGGCGAGTGGGCATTTTTGCAAGATGCCTTTTGCATATTCGGATTTTGGCTGACGGGGAAATTGCGGCAAAAAATTTCGCCACGTGAAAAATTTCCCGCCACCCTGGTGCCACGCGAGCAGCAGCCACAGTTCACTGCAACACGCTGCTCGCTGGTCGCTGCGTGTTATCGCCGATCAAGCCCCACCCAAGCGATGGGCCGCTTTGCCGAATTCTGCGAATTCCTTCTGCCCGACGAAGGCGAGGAGACTGGGTCGGAAACGGAATCAGAATCAGAATCGGGATCGGGATCAGGATCGAAGGCGGTCCGCGCAGCGGCGGCAGCTCCGCCGTCTCGCGAGGCGGCGGGGGGCGGCGGGAGCCAACGCGCGGCGCGGATGTGGTGGGGCGCGTGCGCGCTGGTGATGGGATTCGCCGTGCTGGTGCGCCTCTGCACCGGACTGCACCCCTACTCGGGTAGGCCTGTGCTGCTGCTGCTGCTGGGCCCGCGTATGGGGAAGTGGCATTCCGCCAGCACCCTTCCTCCTTGCCGCGTTCCTGCAGCGCTGTTACACGCTCTCCCCTCTTTGTGCCACCTGCTATGCTCTTCTCTGCTCCGCTTTGAATTTTGAGGCGCCCCACAAACAGTTCCACGCTCTTTCCTCTTCGTGGCACCCGCTCTGCTCTGCTTTGCTTTTGCCTTGCCTTGCCAGGCCACCCTTTCTCCTCCCCTCTCCACCCCATTTTCCAAATCTCAACTTCCTCAGGCACCCCCGTCTCCCTCCTGCCCCTCGCCACAACCCAGCCCTCCTCTCCCTCGTAATCCTCGTCCCCACTTTTATCCCGCCCACTCTTCTCCCCTCGCGCCAGTTGATCGTCACACCGTCCCCACCTTCCCCATCCCCTTTCCCTCCATCCGATTCCTCCTCCCCCTTTCTCCTTCCTGGTCCTCCCCACCCTCTCCCCCCTTTCCCCTTTCCCCCTTCCCCCTTTCCCCCCTGGCATGCACACCCTGCCAAAGTACAGCGACTACCCGCCCCCCACTTCCTCCGCCCTGTTCCACCTCCCTTCCCCCTTCCTCCCTTTCCTCCTTCCCAGTCCCCCACTCCTCCATTCCTGCTCCCCCTTCCACCCCCCTCCCCATTACCCCCCCCCCCCCCCCCCCCCCCCTTTTCCAGGCATGCACACCCCTCCAAAGTACGGCGACTACGAGGCGCAGCGGCACTGGATGGAGATCACGCTGCACCTGCCGCCCACTCTCTGGTACCGCAACTCCACCAGCAACGACCTCGCCTGGTGGGGGCTGGACTACCCTCCGCTCACCGCGTGGCAGAGCCGCATGCACGGATGGGTGATGCACCGCCTGTGCCCTAATGGTGTTGCCCTGGGGTCTTCGCGGGGATATGAGTCGGATTACAGGTGGGTGTGGGAGGGAAGGGGGAGAGAGGAGGGGGGAGGGGAGAGGGGAGGAGAGAAGGGGGGAAGGAGGGGAGGGGTGAGGGGAGTGGTGAATGGAGGGGGAACGGGAAGTGAGGATGGTTGGAGGGGGAAGGGGAGGGGAGAAGGGAGAGCGAGTAGGGGGAGAGGGGGAAGAGTGAGGATTGGGTTTGGGAGTTTTGCGAGAGGATAATGGTTTTTCTTTGTCAGCCCACAAGTGCTGCTCTCTTCCAACGTGTCACCCCTTCTTACACCACACACAGACACACACACACTCACCCACCCAACGCCAGCATGCCCACCCTCTCTCTCCCCTCTTCGCCCTCCCCGCCCCAGCAGCAAGGCACTGCTGCGTTGGACGGGGCTCTCCACAGACCTCCTCGTCGCCATGACAACTGAGTTCACTCAAAGGCTGTCTCTCTTCCCCACTCCCCCATTCCCCCCCTTATTCCCCCACTCCCCCACTCCCCCACTCCGCACCTCCCCGCATCCCGCCCTTTTCTCCATGCTCACCCTACACCCTACCATTAGCAAAACACTGCTGCGCTGGACAGTGCTCTCCACGGACCTGCTCATCTCAACTTTTCAGTTGACCCTAAAGTTTCGCCTCTCTCTCTCCTACCACCCCACCCACCACGCCCACGCCCCACACCTCCCCAACAGCAAAACGCTGCTGCGCTGGACGGTGCTCTCCACGGACTTGCTCGTCTTCTTCCCTGCCGCCCTCGCCTTCGTCTGCTCGCCCTTCCTGCGCCGCCTCTCCCCCGCAGCCTCTCGCCCCGCATCCCACCACCTGTGGTTGCTGGCCATGCTGCTGCTGCAGTCGGGACTCCTACTCATCGACCACGGGCACTTCCAGGTATGCTGCGCTAACTTTTGAGTCGACTCAAAAGTCAACTCTTCCAGGTATGCTGCGCTCTCTCCTCCAGGCCTGCTCGTCACTTCCGGGAATTCTCAACAGTGTCACAAGCTCGCCATGCTGCTGCTGCTGCTGCAGCCGGGACTCATCCCCATCAACCACAGCCACTTCCAGGTGTGCTTTCTTGTAGCCCTCTTGAGGCATCTCAGAAGGTTCTGTTCGATGTATGCTTGTTGTACTATTTTTTTGGAGGCAGCTGGAAAGTGGTACGGGCAATTCCAGGTGCCCAAGTGATCTCTCACTCTCCTACCCTACTACGCCCTGGAGTCCACGCACGTGCGAGTCCTGCACTCCACGTGCGAGTCCTGCACTCCACGTGCGAGTCCTGCAGTCCACGTGCGAGTCCTGCACTCCACGTGCCCACGCACGTACCTGTCTGTATCCGCTTACACATATCCCGCAACGTACGCCCCCCTCTCTTCTCTCACCCATCCTGCCCCATTCTCATTCCCTCAAACCCTCACTCCCTCCCCCCTTCCCCCTCATTCCTTGTTCTCCCTTGTTCTCCCTTGCTCTCCCTTGCTCTCCCTTGCTCTCCCTTGTTCTCCCTTGCTCTCCCTTGCTCTCCCTTGCTCTCCCTTGCTCTCCCTTATTCTCCCTTGTCTCCCTCCCTTCCCCCTCCTTGCCCCGCCCCCCCCAACGCCACAGTACAACAGCATCAGCCTGGGGCTGTCGCTAGGAGCAGCGACGGCCGTCATGTCTCGGCACTACCTTTTGGGCAGTGCGCTATTCTCCCTCGCTATAAACCACAAGCACGTGAGCGCCACTCTTCTGAGTCGACTCAATAAGTTACCTAGTCGACTCAAAAGTCACCTTTTGAGTCGACTCAAAAGCAGCAGCGACGGCCGTCATGTGCCGGCGCTACCTGCTAGGCATCAACCACAAGCACGTGAGCTTCGCCAGTCCTCTCCCACACTATGCCTCTTCACCCCCTAGCCGCCAACCACAAGCACGTGAGCAGGGTAGGTTGGATCCGCGGTGAGGTGGGAAGGGGAGGAGGGCGGAGGGGACCTGGGCGAGTTGGGGCGATACAAGTGAGGAGAGAGGAGGGGGGGAGGGTGTGACACGGCTAAGGGGACTGCGTGACGGGGAGTGAGATGAGATGAGATTACCCTGACATGACGGGCTCGCCGACATGACTCTCTCGTTCGGTTCAGCTCACTGCACTGGTCAATGCCACAGCATTGCACAACCTGCTCTTCATACTCCCACACACTGCTTGCCAATTCCTCTCCTGCACCCGACCATCACGTCCAATGCCTTACCACCCCACCCCACCGCACCACACTCCACCCCACCAACACCACCCATTCATGTGAGCACAGATGGCGCTCTACTTCGCGCCGGCCTTCTTCGCGCATCTGCTGGGTCGCTATCGCCTGGCCCCGCGCTCAGGTTCCTCTCGCTCGCTGCCACCGTGCTGCTCTCCCCACGCGCAGGTCGTGCCGAACATAGCGCTTAAAGAGCTCATGGCCACGTGGCTGGCGTTGCACGCCGCCAGCGGTAACACAACGACTACTACTAGCAGCGCCACTAGCGCCTCGGGTCGCTGCAGCAGTTTCAGCATCAGCGTCAATCGCGGCGGGAACAGTCACGGCGCCGGCCATGGCGCGAACAGCCCCGGCGGCCGGCGCGGCGTGAGCTTTCAATCACCTCCGGCCTCTCTGGAAAAGTCCTTCACTGTTTCCTCTCCCCGCCGCTGCCCGTCTCCGTCGCTCCCCGATTCACCCACCAGCTCCGCCGCTTCCCCCTCTCCATCCCCCTCCTCCGCCTTCTCCCCCACAATCCGCCCCGCGGGGGATGCAGCGCCCACGCGCACCCCTTTTCCGCCTCTTCCTTTCCTGTCAAGGGCAAGTTGCCTTTTCTCCCCGTCCTCGTCTTCCTCTTCCGCCAGTACCTCCCCTCCACCGCTCTCCACCTCCTCACACACCTCACCTTCTTCCGCCGCCGCATTCCCCCGCTCCACCTCCTCCTCCCCCGCCTTCGCTTCCTCCCCCCACGCTTGCCCCACTCCCTCCGCGGGCCTCAAATTTCTCCCTCCTGTTTCCGCCAGCCCTAGAAGCCGCGAGTCTGCCTTAAATTCCAACGGAAATCAGCAGAGCGGAAATTGCAATTGTCGAGTCCCTGGCGGGCGTAATCTCAACGCCCAATCCGCTTCAGCCGTTGTATCCGCCGTTAAGCCTACCGCACCTCCGGCCGGACAGCCGTCAGTTGTCCGCCAGCCGTCCAAGCTACTGGTGTCAGATTTATATGACATAGCTGCTGTAGGCTATAGTGGGGTAGCACATATGGGGTACAGCTTTCTAGGGTTTGTACTTGTACCCAACTTTTCCTTAGTCATTTCCATTCTCGTTCTATTTTCCACATGGTATCGAGCAGGTTCCCTAGTGGGAACTGTTCCTAGGGCCCACCGATTTTTTTTTTCCTGCCCGGGGCGCGTCCCGCCCCTTCCCAAAGCGCGCTTAGGGTCGCGCCTTCCCTAGCGGCCCCGTCGCGTCGCCCTTAGCGGCCCGTCGCGCTGCCCTTCGCGGCCCCGTCGCGCCGCCCCTTTAGCGGCCCCGTCGTACCGCCCTCAGCGGCTCGTCGCCGCCCTCCCCCTGTGGCCCGTCTCCGCCCTTTCACCTGCGGCCCCGTCGCCGCCCCTACAGAGGCCCCGTCGCTGCCCTTGCAGCGGCCCCGTCGCCGCCCTTACAGCGGCCTTGTCGCCGCCCCTGACGTGGCCCCGTCGCCGCCCTCATAGCGGCCCCGTCGCCGCCCTTATCAGCGGCCCCGCCGCCTCCTTTAGCGGCCACGTCGCCGCCTTTGTAGGGGCCCTGTCGCCGCCCTTCCAGCGGCCCCGTCGCCGCCCTCCCCTTACGGCCCGTCGCCGCCCTTACAGCGGCCCCGTCGCCGCCCTTTCAGCGACCCCGCCGCCTTCTTCAGCGGCCCCGTCGCCACCCCTGCAGCGGCCTCGACGCCGCCCCTTCAGCAGCCCTCCCGGCGCCGCCTCTGCTGGCCCCGTCGCCGCTCCACCCGGCCCCGCCACCGTCCCCACGCGGCCCCACCGAGTCGCCGAGCCGCCGGCGCCGCCGAGCTACTGCCGAGCCGCCCGAGCCACCCGAGCCGCCCGAGCCGCCGCGCCTCCCGAGCCGCCCGAGCCGCCCGTGCCGCCGAGCCGCCCGAACCGCCCGAGTCGCCGAGGCGCAGTTGCTGCCGAGCCGCCGTACAGCCGAGCCGCCCGAGCCGCCCGAGCCGCCGAGTTGCTGTGCCGCCGAGCTGCAGTTCCTGCCGAGCCGCCGAGCCGCCCGAGCCGCCCTGTCCGGTAAGAGCAGCGCCTCTATCACTGCACTGCCCTTACCCTACTGTTCGCGCTGCTAGTCTACTGTTGTCATGGCTACCCCTAGTGTCCTCGCTTTTGACGCTGAGGGTCGGGCCATTGACTTTGACGTCTGGGTAGATGACCTGCAGCTTTTCCTACAGTGCGATAGGGCAGACGGTCTCTCCCTCTTTGACCTCACTTCTGGTACCTCTCCTGCCCCTGCTGCTGATGCTGACGCCACTGTTCGCTCACAGTGGGCCACACGCGATGCTGCTGCACGTCTTGCTGTGCGTCGCCACCTTCCTACCACTGAGCGTGCACACTTTAGCCAGTACAAGAGTGCTCAGACCTTGTACGACGCTGTAGTTGCACGCTACTCCTCCCCTGCCACTGTTGCACTGAGCCGCCTCATGCTACCGTACCTCTTCCCTGACCTTGCTGCCTTCCCCACAGTCGCTGACCTCATTACGCATCTCCGCACTAGTGACACTCGCTACCGCGCTGCGCTTCCTGCTGAGTTCTGCGCGAAGAACCCCCCCCCCCATGTACATCACCCTCTACTACATAGTCACCCGGCTCCCTGACTCTCTCCGCGTAGTCAGGGACCACTTCCTCTCAGTTTGCCCCACCACTCTCACCGTTGACCTCCTCGATGTGAGAGTGTGACGGCTTATGCCAGCTATGCTTGCTTGCCTCTACTTTATCATGCTATTTCTAGCATAGGATAATCATATGCATGCATGAATTGCTTGATTTCCTAGGCTAGGTGCTTTCCTATATTTTATTATAGTTATAGCACCGAGCTAGGTTGCGTGCACCGAATTCTGGCTTTTCTGTTGCCACCGAATTGCCTTCTACCGAATTTGGTAAGGATCTGTTCGGGACGCTTCGCGACCCGCGGAACCTTCGCGTAACACCTGGTTACGGGGCCTTGTGTCGAGCCTATATATAGCCTCGTGTTGTACCCAGGTGGACATTCAATTCAATTCAATTCGACTCAATTCTCATTCTCTTTTCTGAACTCAATCCTAGATCCTCACACTTGGTATCAGAGCGGGTTTACACGCGAGGTCTTCAACCGCTTAGTTCCGGCCTTTAAAAACCGCGGGGGCGACGACGAAAGCGCCGATACGGGTATGTAAAACCAGTTCCGCGCAATTTTTCTAAGTCCCCCTCGATTTGGTTTTCGAACACCCCTCAGATTTACTGGTGGAAAGGTTGGAGTTTCGACCGTTCGATCGAGTTTCATCTCAACGGCCCAGAGAATTTCGCCCAAAAAAGTTGGAATTTGGAGCGTCGGATCGATTTCTCCTCAACGGCCAAGATCGGACGCGAATTTCGCCTAAGGGAGATTTACGCAACCTACAGAATTCGCGCTCGTCGATTCTACAGTCAATTTGACTCGCAGTAAGTCGACCAGAACCTAGAATTCGATTACTTTCGTCGCGCATCTTTCTGTAAATCACCAAATGGAGGGCCAAGGCGACAACTACGCGACTACGAGCGACATCGCGAGCCTCCGCATCACCGAGGCGAATGGAGGCTCCGCGAAAAAAGACTCTGCACCGACCGGGAAACTCCTGCCGAACACCCACGAAAGTAAGAATTCGTTAAAATTATCCTATAAAGATGCTCTTACGAAGAATATTGCTTCTCGTGGTTT